TACTTCCTTCTCACTCCATTCACCAACTTCACCATCAAGTTTATCATCAATTTTTTTCTCTACCTCTTTTTTTTCACTCTCGTCAATCAACTCCCTCCCACTTCTCGTCCTTATAGCCTTACAATGCTCCTTCGGATTTGTTTGCGTATTTGCCGAGAAAGATGGTCCGGCTTGTTGTTCCGCTAATTGCTTAGCGAGTTGACCAACTTGAGTCTCAAGATTTTTTATAGCCACATCATTACTTTTTTGGTTTGCCATAGACATTTGCATGAATTGCGTCAATGTATCTTCTAGCTTAGAAGTCGCAACCGGCGGTTGTTGAGGTACATACGGATTTTGACGGTTAGAGTTTCCTCCCCCATAACCTTGGTTATTGTGGTAGTTACCTCTAGGTTGGTATCCTTGATAGTTTTGTTGTTGTTGTTGTTGAGGATGATGGTATGGTTGTTGTTGTGGTTGCCTTTGTTGGTAATCTCTCTGGTTGGCCATGTAGTTCACTTCTTCGAATCCGGGAGGCGGACAAAATCCAGTATCATGTTCGCCTTTACAAAGCTCGCAACAAGCTATTTGTTTAGCTTTTGACGGTTCTTTTAGCTCCTTGATTTGTTGAGTTAAAAGTTCCACTTGTTGTGAGATGAGCTTGTTTTGCGCAAGTATAGCATCATTTGTTCCCAACTCAAGCACACCCGGCTTTCTTTGAGCTACCCATCGGTTGTGGTTCCCTTGGTGATCATTAAGTGCCATTTTATCAATGATCGCAGTTGCATCTTCGGCGCTTTTTGACATTAAAGAACCTCCCGCCGTAGCATCCAATTAGGTCTTATGAACCGAAAGGAGTCCATTGCAGAAAATATGAATTTGAGTGAGCTCATCGAAACCATGTCCCTTGCATTTTCTCAACATAGATTTGTAACGCTCCCAAGCTTCATTGAGTGATTCACTAGCTCCTTGAGAAAATACCGTAATTGCAGTTTTAGCCTCCATGAACCGGTTATATGGAAAGAACCGTTCAAGAAACTTTTCTTCTAAAAGATTCCAATCGGTCATGACTGTTGTCGATAGGTCAAGATACCACTCCTTCGCTTTCCCAATTAAGGAATGAGGGAATAGTCTCCTAAACAATGACTCTTCGTCAGCTTCGGTAGCTCCAGTTGCGCCCGCAATCTCATAAAATTTTGTAAGATGAGTAAACGGATCCTCATGGTCTAATCCCGTGAAAGGATTTTGATAGACAAGAGCTAGGATTCCCGTTTTCATCTCCGCTTGTCTTCCATTTTGGAGATTACGTGCAAACTGAGCTGTATGTCTGGGACTGTTTGTGCATGGAGTAGAAACTGGTGGAGGGGGTGGTGGTTCTGCCATGATTGGTGTGAAATGTGGTGGTGATGTGGTAGTCAAAGAACTTTCTCCTTGATTTTGTCTTTGCCTGGCTTGTTGCCTCCTGCGTCTTGCTCTACTGTTCAGTCTACTTGCGGTTCTTTCGATCTCAGGATCAAAAAGAATTTGGTCCTCAGGAATCTGTCCTCGCATAAACAAGGGCTGCACACTAACCAAATAAATTACAAGCACAAGTAAAAATTTCAAAACTAAAAATTCGGCAACTATTGCGATGCTAGCAATATCAATTTATAATCCCCGGCAACGGCGCCATTTTATTAGAACAGTGATTAAGTGTCGGGTTTGTATTATCGTCTCCACAGGGAATATAAGATTTTGCCGCCGTTCAACAGTTGTTAAATTTATAGTTTAATGGTATCTAAGGTTTTGTGTTTAAGGTAACAAGTGTTTTGCATGAAAGGAATAAATGCGATAAAAGTTAGGTTTTAACGGTTCGAATAAAGATTGTCAAAGTTAGGTTTCGGTAATCACTTTGCATGTATATTTCCGATCAACATTTAATAAACTCTTTCAAATGGTCAATGCATTCACAATATCCTCTCAATATGATTATATCTAACTCATATTGTGAAGTTTATCATTTTAATCCATTGTTGATCTCTCACACAATCTATCAAAATGACAACTTTAAAGTTCAACATTTTAAGTGAACAAAATCATCCAAGACTATTTCTAGCTCAAGAAAAGAGATGGGTGAAAACCTAGGTCAAGAGTTGGTAAATATTTCTCAATCATTAACCAACACAAAAGATTATGAATAAAACAAGGTTTTCACCATACATTAATCATTCAATAGTTTACAAATGAAAATCATCCATACAAATACAAAGTTCAATGATTACCTACATCTATCTTTGACAACAAGATGAACTTAGCTACCCATTCTCATGGTAGCTTGCAAAAGAAGTTTTAAAGTCGGTTGATGAACATCCAAGTCGAATGATCCAACTTTGATGATGATCCACCTTGTTGTTGTTTGATTATGTTAAGAGATGAAGAAAAATAAGCCAAAATAGGTTTTTAGGTCACAAAAACCTTTCTTTCAGCAAAACAATGTAAAAGTGAAAAAAGAAGATGATCTCCAAAAAGTGGCCCAAGCTACTTATAGTAAGTGACAATTCTGGGCACGCTCGCTACTCACTCGCTAGGCGAGCTGCTGGCGAACGCTCGTTACAGCCTCGCCTAGCGAACCTGCCAGCGAGGTCTGCAAGTTTCATTCTGTTTTGCTTCGCTGCAGCGAATGAGCCAGCGAAGGGTGCCTGGGACATTCTGTTTTGCTTCGCTAGGTGCTCGCTGGGGGCTCGCCTAGCGAGCCTCTTCGCCACTTGCTCGCTGACCAAGATTGATGTTGAAAACCATTCTGCCCAAGTCTGGAGCTGTTCGCTACGTGCTCGCTAGGCGAGGCTGTAGCGAACACTCGCTACTCACTCGCCAAGTGCTCGCTTGAGCGAACCAACTTTTGTTTTGCTCTTTGCTTGATTCCTTTGCCATCTTTCTTGTGCCTTCAAATAATGCTCTTTCACACTTAAAACCTGCACAATAACACACAAATCAAAAGGACCAAAAGCATTTGACACAATGATGCATACTAACAAAAGCAAAGCTTAATAAATACGTTTTTGGCATAAAAAGAAGTGAAAGATGTCCATATTTGATAGCTCCAATAAGCACAATTGGGCATCTAACAGCTAATACCTTCCACTTGCATAATCGGCTCTTGAATTTGAATTTGGTTGCGACAATCATCTTCTCTTTCTTTTTAGGGTTTTATCAATATTTTTCCTTTCATTCTTTGAAATAAATAAAGTTTGGCGGCGACTCTGTTCAATTATCCGCAAGCATGAAATGCGCTTATAGGTCATATTTTTGTCATGATGGGACACTTTATTCAATCATTCTTTCACACAACTTCATGGTATAACTCAAAAGTTTAATCCCTTATAATTTGTAGAATTTTGTATATCCCCTATGTTATTATAGGTTGGAACTAACATGTTTCTTTTTCATTCATTCGACACTTGCTTTGGCCTCATAATTTCATAAAATAGTTTTGTGAGGCACTGAATACCTCTATCTCCGTGAATATTTCACATTTCTTTATGTATCTTCTCTTGCCCAGTCACCTTAATGTTACCCATTCATTTAGCTGCTTCCTTTACCTCTTGTTTCTCAATCCAATAGTAGAAATTATAGTTTTGATCCTCTTCACTAGTGTCGAGCCTACTAGAGTCTGGTGAGATATCGCATATTTCATTAAATAAACTGTAGAAATATATCTTTCACATATCCTTTATTTTTTCTGAACCAAGATTTTGCCTTCTTCATCTTTAATACACTTCACTCAATCCAAATCTTTTGTCTTTCTTTATCTCCTCTTAGCAAGTATTTGCTATATTAAGATACTAATCCAACAAAAACTCCAAGATAGACTTATCCTCCACATTCACGTTCCCTATACCATACCACTCATGCACGCTCTCAAAACTTCTTGCTACGCTCACTACATGTCCATTTAGATCCCCTCTAAGAAAAAGCTTCTCTCATTGGGGTATATTATGAAGTAAGCCTACTAAATCCTTCCAAACGTTTATCTTAAGTTGTTATGTTAATCCAACCTGATGTGCCTAATCACTAATAACATTAAATGTGTCTTGTTTTATTATAAATTTCAAGGTTATGCTTCGACCTCAAAGTACATTCACAATATTTTTCTTTCATTCATTGTTCATAATAATCCCCATACCATTTTCGGATCTAACTTTTCAGATGTAGCAAATCTTAAATTCATACTTGTTTAATCATTCTCTTTTTCACCTGTCCACTTAATGTCCACTTAATTTCTTGTAGACACATAAAATTGATCTTCCTTATACCATATTGTCCACTATTTCCATAGATTTTTTAGTAAGTGTGCCTATATTTCATGATCTAAAATGAAGCTTACTCTCTTGAAATAACTTCTTTACTCAATCTTGTTCGCAAAAATGTGAAAACCCTTACTTATTTTCATTGCATCCAGACATCAATGCAACAACCCATACTTTTTCAATACTGTACTCGAGCCATACAACGCATTGCTAATGGGCAACAACCTAAGATTCACATTATTTCATAGTTTATCCATGCCATAGAAATTTGAAATTTATTAATATTGATCATCAAGTGCCTAACATAACACTATTCTTTTATCTTAACTTGAGACCGACTATGCATAACAAAACTAACATAAATCTGAATCGAAATAGAAATTTACAAAAAAAAAAAAAAAATATTTTTTATGTCATATGAATATGTACTTCAAGAAATCATAATATCCTCAATTTTTTTCCGGTTTAGAAATACACTTCCAAAATAATGTGCGGGTTTAAAATGTATGGTGGGTGTATAAACAAAAAAGTGAGTGCTGTTGGTAAAACTACTCCCTAACATTTTTCACAATTTGGGGTTTAGGCCCAAACTTTGCTCTTCCCTAAACATCGATTTCGTGAACCGAACCATTGATTCGGGTCAAAACCACCATGCCCTAATCGCGTCTGAAATCGGAACTACAACTACTTCCTCTTCTCCGTTTTCATGATTTTTCACAGATAATACAATCCCACATGGCTTCGTTATTCAAGGTACACTACGCTACAACGAGTTTTTCGTAACTTGATTCGACTACTATGGATTATGGTTGATTTGGTTTAATTCCATTCTCTTCTTTGCGAATGTTTTAGGATCCGGCAAAGCTCTCGGCGTACCGAGACAGAAGGTTCCCTGGAAATCAAGAAGAGTTTGAGCATGCTCTGATAACTTCATCAACCGTTTATGTTGGGAACATGTCGTTTTACACTACTGAAGAGCAAATTTATGAACTGTTTTCTCGTGCTGGTGAAATCAAAAAGATTATCATGGGTTTGGATAAGAATACCAAAACTCCTTGCGGTTTTTGCTTCGTTTTGTAAGTCACAATTTTGATTTAAACTTTACAAAACTTTACAATTTTGATTAATTTATTTGTTAATTAAAAATGTAGGAGAAGGAACTAATCATAGACTGTATCCAGTTACTACTTAGTGATTATGTATTGTTAATTGCACTGAATCATTGGCCATTGAGAAAATTATTCAGTACTCATTGATGATTTTGTGTGTGTATTTAATTGTTATTGTTATTAGATATTACTCTCGTGAAGATACTGAGGATGCTTGCAAATATATAAGTGGGACGATACTGGATGATCGCCCTATTCGTGTTGATTTTGACTGGGGATTCCAGGATGGGAGACAATGGGGTCGTGGTCGGAGTGGTGGCCAGGTGAATAACTCTTGTGGAACAATGTGTGAAATCTGTAAATCTTTTAAACTAGTAGTTGAGTTCATAGTTTACTTGGACAAATCAGTTATTTTTTTGTTGTATTTTATCAATTTTGTTTTCAGCATTTACACCATTAGCATAGATAATAGCACAATGCTAATAATAACAAACAATGAAACACGAAAACTGGAAACATGACACCGACACTGACACTTTGACACCGGTAATAGTTTGAAAAAATGAATAAATTAATTGTATATCACAAGCGTCGGTGTCGGTTTTAGACACTGACACAGACACATATTTTTTCCAGAGGTGTCAGTGCTACATAGGTAACAAAGCTTTTTCTTACTAAGTAGGGTTAACTCCATGACATGATGCCCTAGTGTTCTGCAATAATGTCCTGTCATGTTTCAGTGCTTACATAAATGATATTATTTTGTTCGGATCACAATGGCTCGTCCTAGTTTGTAAAATATCAATTCTTTCTTTTCATTCCAGAATTAATTTTTCAATATACCAATTTTATGCATTGTGTGTTAACCATGTTGTATCTCATAGTTCTAAAGATATGCTAGTTGGCCTATGCTAGTTGCCATATGTTAGTTGCCCTATCCCTGTGTTTACGCTGTATCCATGTTGTATCTGTATTTTCTAGTTCCCGTGCCTTTGTTTCCTTTGGTTGCTTTTGTTCTTGGCTATATTGACCGATGTTATTAATATTTGCAGGTGCGTGATGAATATCGCACTGATTATGATCCAGATATCCTTTTAATTGTTTTAAATAAATTTATCAGTAATTGGCATCATTGTTTACTCTTAATATTCTAGAATGAACTTCACATTTGATCAGTTACATCCCTACCTGTTCAAAAAAATAAATTTTTAAATCTGCTATGATGTTACATCGTCTAATTGAAATTGAATAATCAATATTCCCAATTTCCCACAGATTCATTTGATCTTGAAAAAGAAATTTTACAGCGAAGTTACTTCAGAAAATACTTTGATGCACTAATATTTCTACTAGTCTCTTTTTGTTTCCTTAATTCTACATACGTAGGGGTGGATATGGGAAGTTGGTTCAGAAAGAGTTAGAAGTACAAAGGCAGCTTGTAGATTACGGCACTGGTTCTTTGGGATCTTTTCCACCAGTTATTCCTTCTTGTAAGTGACTCTTATATTTTATGTGGATCTTCAACTGCTAGTAGCAACAGTGGTTCAACATTTTACTTGTTTTCAATTACAATATTTGATTAATGTATATACCTGCTTGATTTTTATTGATTGATAAGTAAAACACTGGAAAGGACATCCATTTATGGACTATTGTCACCGACTCATTAGCCCATACCAATGCTTACATTGTTAGCTTGGTGTTGTATATCTTAATATACAAGAATAATGCGGGTATTCTCTAACTCACTCATCTCAAGAGACTTTCTTCAATTGGTTGAAATATATGAGTTTTACAAAATTATGCGGGTCCCATATAAATTTATAAGGACCTATATATATTTTAGCAAATAGAAGAGAGTGTGTGTTGGGATGTGTGTTAGAGTGTGTGTTGGGATGTGTGTTAGAGAGTGTGTTGCTAGGACTCCTCAAATATTCAATACATGAGGCTGGCAGCTTCCAACTATGAGAGCATTTTTTCAATTAGCAAACATAATCAAACACAGTAATGCCTCCTTCAATGGCAAATATCATCTACTTTAGATTTCTTAGACAGTTTCCATGTCAGAAAGACAAATTGTTGCTCTTAGATACAGTTTATAAGTTTTAGTAGAATTTAAATATAAAAGTCATTATTGATAACTAAGTTGGATCTAGAATTAGCCGTGTTGAGGTGTCCAACACTCCTATGACATGTGTCAGATAACTCAGACAAGTGTCTCAAAATAATTTAATTTTTTCCCTTTGCTTCGACACTCCTTGAGTCAGTGTTGACTCGTATGGCAAGTGTTGTACAACTTAGGCAAGTGTCTCAAAGAATTTATTTATTTTTTGTTTCGACAAACTTCATACACTCTTTAGACACTTCTGAGACACATCTGCAAAGGTTAAAGATATGTCAAAATAGTGCCGATTAATGAAGATTTAAAGACATTAAATTTGATTACTACTTTTTTATTTTTGACAGTAGTTGGATAAATAAACTGTTCAATTTAGATGCACATGTACATATTTTGATTCTCAATTTCGATATATTTTATATATAATAATATTTATTTATGTGTAATAAATGAACTAATATATATATGTTGCGGTATTGGTGCCCTATGTTTTTTTATGTTAGTAGCCGACATCTCCGTGTCGTGTCGGGTGTGTTGAGAATGTAGCAAGTGTAAGTAGTGTGGGTAATAGGCCCACATTGGTTGGAAATGTAGAGATTTAAGCATTTATAAGTGAGAAAATCCATCCACCTATCATCTTAAGGTTTTGGGTGAATCCACCTATCATCTTAAGTTTTTGGGTGAACATGTAGTGTGTCTCTCACAAAGGTGTTGCTTAAAGGGAAGTTCCACAATGTTCAATGCTCCCTAGTTGAAAAACTCTCCCAACACATGGTATCAGAGTCTCCGTTAAAGATTCGGTGGGCCACCTACTATGGTTTCCGCTATTGGGCCACTCACAATTTATTTTCACGCTCCAGTTGTCTAGTTCTGAGCGTGAGGGAGTGTGTTAAGAGTCCCACATCGGATAATATATGGCCTGAACATGTGTTTATAAATGGGGACAATCCTCACCTTACAAGCCGATTTTGTAGGATTGAGTTAGACACAACCCAAATTCTGAGAAGGTGTTTGTGTTAGGATCCGCGCTTCATATGTTTCTTTACTATACGTGAAGCAACATAATGACTTGTGTGTTGAATCATAACTTCTATTATGAAGTAAAAATATTGCAATGGTTTTAGTAGGTTTTAATGCCTCATAATACTCTGAATCTTATCTTATCCACTTTTCTCTTCAATATTCAGATACATACTGTCTTTATACTTTAGTTTGTTAGACATCATATATTCTCATTACTCTATGCTAGGCCAGAGAACCAACATGTGTTAGTATTATGGTGAACTAGCCATATTGTTTTTTTTTTGTTTCCTTTCTTCAACCATCTAACTTCTTTTTACGTTGTAAAATTTGTGGTATTTCTCTATCATGTGGCATGATTTTGCATTCTCAGCAAGTTTAACGGTTCAGCAATTTTAATCTTGCAGATGGTAGACATGGTGGTGGTCATGGTCATGGTCATGGTAGTGGCCATCGGCATGGTAGAGGTAGTTTCCATCTTAAAACAATTTCTTTTGTCCATCAATTTAAATTTTTAAGAAGCACTTTGGGTTACTGTTATTATTTGCCTTTGAAATTACAAAGAATTGATTAAATTTGTCTCTGGCATTATAGACTACCACCATAGGAAGAGATACAGAGACGATGACCGTCACACACACGAGCCCTCAAAAAGAACATCAGATCATGAAACTCGGAGGAACTCTGACCATGAATCTAGACCGGTAAACTCTACAAATCTTGATGATGCTTTGGTCTAACTGTTAAATTATATACAATGGTTCCAGTTGCCATACATTGTACAGTGTCACATGGCATGCAGAACTTTTTTCTTTAACTGAAGGCTTAGGCTTGTATCTGTATTCCCTATGTTTATATTTATACTTACAATTGCCACCACTGCTAATATTAATCCATATTCTGGCTTCAAAAATATCATCTTTTGTCCTAGCTGATATTATCTGTCTGAATCAAATTTGATCTGGTGTGGCAGGAAAAAAATCCACGATTTCGGGAGAGTGGTGATTCTGATGATGAGGAAGAAGATGATAGAAAAAGACGGGGTTAACCAGAATATCATCTTAATCAAACTGATATGATTTGAAAGTTTTCTTCTAGTATGGTAAAAAGTGGCAAATTGTGTATTGTACATCATTTCAAATTGCAAATATCTTAGTATCAAGTTAACCCTGTGAAATTCTTGGCTACATCTGCTGCATATGGTAGTGCCAAGTTGTGTCTTGTATTTTTCATGATTAGAACTAGTTAACTTTCTGGATCTTGTGTACAAGAAATCAGCTTATTAGGCAAATGACGCGGCCTTGATCCTGTTTGATTAATCTGGCATTACGCCCGTGATATGTAGTTTGCTTGCCTACATAATGTTAATTTAAATACTACTTAAAATATTTATGTGTGTATGTTCCTATGCACACTTCCAACCCCATCCAAAAGGCCCCTTTGGCACTTTATGCAAAATGACCATATAATGAGTTTATCACAAACTTTAAATCAACAAGAATGGTAAGTACCCTCTACCCTCACCACCAAAAAAAATGGAATAATGAGCCGACACAAACAAGGGAGGATCTTTATGTTTACCCATTCAAATTGGGGGCATTTTACACTAACACAAGATTTTGGAAAATCTTGATTGTTAACACATTAGTATTGGAGGTTTTTGAGAGTATATGTTGATCTGAAATATCATCTAAAGTTGCTTCTGAATGATTTTCCTATTGATAAGATGATTGATTTTGGTTTTAACAATAAACACTTAGAGCACTCACAACGAAGCTCAATAGTTTGGATTTTAAAGCAATTTACATTATTTATTTTATAGTTTTTTTTTAATGTAGTAAATTCCGCCAAAAAATGACGGGGTAGCCAATTTGAGTTAACTAATGTAATAAGGAAAATATTTAATGGGGTAGCCAATTTGACTTGCCTAATTTAATAAGGGGAATATTTAAGGCATCTTATAAGGGAAATATTTAACACGCCTTATGGATTACTACAATACTCTCTTGAAAAATATAATATTTTAGATTTTAGAAATGTATCACTGGACGCATTCAATTCAATATATTTTTGAATAAAGTTAAATAATACGAAAATACTATAGAAATGCATCTCTGTGTAACTTATGGAGATACATCTCCGAACGTTTTTTGTTCAAAAATGCATTAGAATTCTTTCTCCTTTCTCACTTAAAAAAAAACACTCTCATAAGTGCCACTTATGTGGATGTCATCTACCTGCAATATTTCGATGACTTTGACCGAATTCAAGAGTATAATTGGAGACCGCTTGTTTGCTCTACTTGTACTCCAAGTTATTCGAAAGTTGTATGTGGAAGACTATACAGGTGACAAACATCATCACACTATTGACGATGATATTTCTTGGGATTTTAGTATTTATGTGTCATTTTCATAACACTTTTGTAACACCGTTACTAATGATTAATTTGTTCCAACATTTTTCAGGCTTGGATCCTCCAACACTTTTCACGCATATCCGACTGATCATGTGTATCGATCTACACCGAGGATATGCCACACGCTTCTGCATTCACTCCGCTTAGAGGGAACTAGGCGACTGAGCCATACCAAGTGTATCTTGATTGCCTGAGAGTAGAGGATATACACTTTCATGTGTACGTCGATCACCGCGAGGCACATCCCTTTGACGACTTAATCTTATATTCGAGATGGTTGACTTGCGGTTCACGTCTAACGTATCCTCATCTTCTTGAGCACATCATGCTATGAGTGCGATATGCTCTTACATGTATTTTGAATGATGTCAAAACTAGGTAACATAGATCTTTGTATATTTGGACCTTACAATCTTGTCTAATGTGCATCATCGTCATAAAACATGTAATAAGCCATCACATACAAAAATGAGTTTTTTTTCACAAAAAGACATGCATGGGTCGATACATACTTAGTAAAATTTCAAAAAATTTGGATCTGCCTTAATTAGGCCGATACAAGGGAGCAATGAGTTGATACATACTGCGAACGAGTCGACTCATTCTTGGTTGAGTCGACTCAATATGAAAGATGTTTTTCAAGGATTTGCCACTGCATTGAATGTATCGATACATTGAGCTAATGGGTTGATACATTGAGCTAATTTGTCGACTCACCCGTGTTTGGAGTCAACTCATCCTGCAACTTTTTCTTTACAAATTAACTACTGCCTCCAATGTATTAACTCCATTTGGTCTAGTATTGACTCATTCAGCTGATGTATTGACCTATTTCATTTTAGAGTCAATACAGTCTGAATCAAATTTTAAAATTGCATTTTGGCTAAAAACATATTTTTCTCATTTCTTTTCTATACTCGTACATACTTATAAATACTCATTCATGCACAATTTCTAAGCATAGAAACCTGAAAGATACAAAAAATTCTCATCATACAATTGGAAGCTCTTAAGCAAACCATGTTAAATGTTCAAAAAGATAGGATTGAGGATGAGAAATCTTTATGATTTGGTTGTGAAACTTGTTATATTTGACAAAAAAAGGTTAATACTCTAAAGGTCAAATTACACAAGGCATTAGAACCAAAATTCATTTTTGCTATTAATCCTACAAAATTCAAAAGATCTTTAAATGTGTTGTACAAGAAGTACAATTTTTGTGGAAAAGAAATCTATTAGCGAAAGTCACTCTCATTGTCGCTTGACTTGTCAGTATTGTTGTAAGAAAGACCATGCCCTTACTAAATGCAAATTTAGAATATTTTTGGTTCCTAAAGGTGTATTTCAATAGTTTCTTAAATGCAACAATATTTTTACTCACTCTCAATGATCCATTGAAAATAACTATCACTCTTGTTTAATTTTGCAGGTTGAATGTCTTGACTCCATTAAGAGAGCGTGCTTTCTCGACAGTGGATGCTCAAGGCACATGACGGGTGACATTTCCCTACTCATTGATTTCAAGCCAAAGAAGAAAGGATTTGTGACCTATGGAATAACAACAAGTGTGCAATACTTGGTAAAAGTATTGTAGGTAATCCCTTTTCTATTACTATCTTTGACGTAATACTCATTATAGACCTTAAACATAATCTTCTTAACATAAGTCAGCTATGCGAAAAAGGCTATAAAATAAATTTTACAAAATACTTGTTGCATAATTGATCACAATGAAATGAAAGATCATTTGTTTAAGAGCTTGAGGGTTAACAACATCTATATGCTTAACTTGGTTGATGTATCTTTAACAAGTAATAAGTGTTTAGTAACCATGAGTGAAGACTCTTGGCTATGGCATAGACACTTAACACATCTTAGGTTTGATCTACTCAATAAAGTAGGGTCAAAAAATCTAGTCAGGTCTACTGAAAATTAAATTTTCAAAAGATCACCGTTGAATTTCAAACTTGCTTCAAATTGATCATTAATTATTGGCATTTTCAACTCTTTTGTGTTGTTTTGTTAGATTTACTCCATGATATCATGCTATTCTTCAATATTGTGAAAATACCTTTGGTTGCTTTAATTTGTGTGTTATTGTGCAGAAATTAGGCATAAAAACATCAAAGTGTAAGACAGAAGCAATTGGGAAAGGAAGCCAAAGGAAGAGAATGATTTCATCATGTTTGTTGTGCGAACATCCAACGAGGAGTGCCAGTGAATGTTCACTGTGCGAACTCATAGAGAAGTCCTAACGAACCATATCAGAAATATGCCAGTAAGTTCATTGGGCAAACAAAGCGACTGTTTGCTTGGGCAAAGTATCAACGAAGAGCCAATAAACCATCCCAGACTGAAGTCATTAGCTAAAAGACCCTAAGTTTGATGTGCGAACTTGTAGCGAGGTAGTTTGCAGTGCGAAGAATTGCTCACACAATGAACTTTAGATATTTTTAAATGGCAGCTTAACTATTCAGAGGCACTTCAGGTGCCTAAAAAGGTGTTCATTGGGCGAAGAAACGATTCATAGTGCGAACATGACATATTCTAAAAGTACTATATAAGTACTTTTCACTATTTTTTGGGATCATAACCCATTTTTACACACAAGAACTTCATTTTCTCAGATTTCTTCACCAAAAGGTGATATTTGGAAAATAGAAGCTGGATTTGCATCCGAGTTTGATTCTTCGACGTGAATGCTCATTCATCTTCTTCCAAACTTGTAAAGCAAGCTACCATGGTTATGGATAGCTAATTTCCTTTGTATAAAAGGTAGCGATAGTCTACCTTTTGCTTGTATGTATTTCTTTAGATTGACCTTGTATGTGAATAAGTGATGATTAATATATGATGAATATTTTTGTTCTTAATGATCCATTCTTGTTTTGTAAAACTCTAGACATAGATTTTGTAAAACTTGATCTAAAATATTCATCTATCGGTTTATAGATTTGAGAAATCGGTCTATGGTCGATAGTTGCTTTGTGTTGAACTTAGACCTTACTATATTGGTTTTTATATGGAGAAATCGTGTAGCGATGAATACAATATTTCTCACGACGCCACTTTAGACATAGACGGTGTTGAGAAAATGCGTGATGATATTAATCGGATCCGACTTCACATGCAAGATTGAAAGAGTACATATAAGTTAGGATGGATGAAAACTACTTTTGATATACTTTGTTAACAAAAATATTTAGAATTAATAAGCTTTGCTACTAAAAATGTGACAATCTTATGAGCAAAACTTTGAAAACCCCTTATTCTTAAACGATAAACTGTTGTAAGGCAAGCATCAAAGTATCCACAATCCCTGTGGAGACAATAACAAAACCCCCCTTTAACTATAATTCGAACAAAATGGCGCCGTTTCCTGGGAGTAGATGGTGGCAACTCAGTGCGCCATGATTGATATTCATGATTCTATGCAAATATTACAGCTGCATTGCAGTGCAATGAGTCCTCTGTGGAACATTCGACGATGACTAGAGAATAGTTCCTAGATCATGCGTCTTGGCCTGAGGCCAAGCCACATTTTGGAGAGGGGACAGGTGTAGCTATTTCTGAGGATACTGAGGAGGACGAAGAAGATGATGAGACTAGTCCTGATGAGGTTTCTGGTT